TTAGTTTTTGTGAAAAATACTTTCGTCTGCAACAGTCTAGGAAGTATGCATTACAATAAAAAGTTGACCTCGTTCCTAATCAGACTAAATTGTCCAACCTTCAGAAACATATTTATAATAGGCCTCTGGTGAGGGCTAATAATTAAGAAATAAGCTGTGGTTTCTGCAGTTTAAGGGGTTCGATCAAAGATCACAAAGTGGACTAAAATCAATTTCCAGCAACGAACTTGTCACTGCCTTTCCTTGTGCATTATCAAACACCATTCAAAATACGTCCTGTCGAACATGCAACCCATCGCTCGCCGGTTGCGGAATCGCAATGAATGTCTGCAACAGCTGCTAGTCTGTAGAGGTCTCAAAAGGTGGTCTACTCTGTCCTAATTTTCACCCATACCCTCTGATCCTGCATTTCTAACTCGCGTACCGGTCCCCTCTCCTTTCAGGAACCGCTTCACCTGTGTAATAAACGGGTTCGCCAACATGGCAGCATGGTTACAGGGCCAAGATGAGCTCATTGATCTTCTGGGCAGGTTGTTGGAGCACTTTGTGCAGCTGGACGTTGAACTGCGACGCGATTTCAAGAATGGCGAAGCGGTAAGCACCTTTTTAGAATCATTTGTGCCTGTCAGTCTTTAACCCCCCTCCGGTTGGTGTCTTAAGCGCGAACCCAACATTTGCCTTTTGTCCGCCTCTCTTTCGCGCACTTGCATCTGGGGACGGTGCTAACGTTCGTTTATGCTCACTTTGACTTGTAGATGCATACGACGCACTATCTGGGGAGCCTGATTCCCGTGCTCGCGATTGTAAGTGAAGGATTTTAGTTGCTTTTTCTAATGCAGCTTCTTTCTGTGTACTTAATTACTTCCTATCTGGGTGACGTTATCATTATACCGATGTCCTTCGATGTATACACCTACTCTATGTAATTAAATAGGCGTAGTTATGCCTATTACGCACTCAAAATTTCGACAATCTTTTGCTTCCTGTGGGTCCTTTTAGTTTTTTTTTTCTTTTTAGTTTGTTAGTTTCAATTTATTTATAGTTGTATTTAACTTAATTTTTAATTCAATGTAATTCCTGTGATATAACCCAACCATAAAACCCCTACTAACACTGCTCCTGTAAGACACAGTGATGGGACTAGCCATACCTATGTACCTCGGCAAATTAGAATGTGGCCTCGGTCTGTTTATAACCTTCATCGCGGAGGGTTTTTTCTTATCTCTTGTCCTCTTATCCATCCAATGTCCCTTTACAGGTGCAAACCGCATATTCCCCGTCAGGTTCCTTACGTCATCTCTCAGTCCGCCTAAAGTACACGCCTTAGTGCACTTCTGACAACGCCTGCCTGCGCGTTTTGATTACCCGTCTCAATCAGATGGGAAGAAGGAGGTGGTTATGGTGTTAATGGACACATTTTGCCGACGGCCATTGACAGAATGCCTCTCAGTGCATGTGCATTGGGGAACATGAGTACAGGGTGGGCAGTTGGGCTAAACACTAATTATTCCTCGAAATTCCGCTGTCGGGTCCTGGCAGTAGAAGTGTCTGCATCAACGTATTCCGTGCTCCTATAACCGTTTTGCTCAGCCTTATTGATTTACATTTCGTCGTTATAAGTAGGCGCTCTCTTAATC